CCTTTGGCTGTGGCCGCTCCCCTGCCCTCTGTTCGCTGGCGTAAGAGTGGGAGGTCACGCTGTCATGATTCCCTTGCCAGAGGTGCGAGAGCAGGAAGAGGGTGTGAGAAGAGCAAGGGAGATCTTTACCGGTTTTGCATTGTGTTGGCGTGTGCTGGACGTTAGAACGTAGAAAAATGGATCTGCTCATCAATAAACAGATATGAGAAGAAATTACTTATTTCATCATTCTGGCAGGTGATAAGCCTGCAACCATTTATCAGATGTCCACTAGAAATAAATGTCTGTTGTCACTTTCTCACTTTTAATAACATTATACCTCTCTGTAATTTTAGCTGTTCATCTCAAGTGCTACTTTCTTCTTTTTTTTTTTTTTTTTGCTTTTTGAAAGAGTGAGCTTAGAAGGGAAAGAATAATTTAATGAGGCTTCCCCCTTTCTTTGGCAAGCCAGCAAAATGATTGTAAAGAACACCAAATTAATTATTTGGATTCATAAAAACAGAAGCAGCCCACTTGCTTAAAGTAGAATGAACACCAAGCAGTTTCTCTTGGATTTTCAGTGGCTTTGAATTTGAGTTTGCTTTTACAGCAGCACCAGCAGCGTTCTCCCAGCTCGCTAACCCAAAGCCTCCATGACATTTTTCTATCACCCTTTGGGAGACTCCTTGTCCCTCCTGTGTGTACCAGGTAGAGGAGGTGAGGGCCTTAGTCCCTTATCAGCAGTAAACCTTCCTTATAACTTGAGAAAGCATGAGCTGGAGTTCTTCAGCCCTTCAGCAAGCATGGCTGGTAGGCAACCTACTGGAAGCTTTACTTGAGTGGAGGAAGGCTTTTACAGAGTTTGGTATGCCAGTGAATAATGTCATCTCTTCATTAGCACCTGCTCTATCCCAATAGCAAAATAACATTATTCTAGACTACTCCCACACCTTCAGCTTTCAGCATGACTGTGCCTAATTATACTGCATGGGTTATCAGCAGCAGAGCTGGAGCTTTTGGTAGTCAAGTTTGGGATAATTGGAGTTTGAGGCTTCTGGAAAGACATGGCAGAAGGTTTGAGGTAGGAAGACAACTACCTGCTACAAGTACCCAGGTTTATCTGCCTGGAGGTTCATCTAGAGGGCCAGGAAAGAGATGGTAAATGGTTCAGCTGCAACACTGAGGTGCAGGGGGTAGCCTTTTCCCATCAGAGCTGGAAGTTTCTCTCTAGGGTGTGTATGGACTGAGGGGGTGGATGTATCTTTTTGCATTCACATTCATGTTTTGACATTTTCTCAATTCTTCTCTTTCTCCCAAGGAGGCTTAGACACTCAGAGCCTGGCCCGTAGTGAGGAAAGGAGGCACTAAGCCAAAAATCTTACATTACAGCTTTTTAAAATACAGACCATGCTTTCTGACGTTTGCATGGAAGATAGATGAGAATTATATCATATATGTGATCCTCCACAATAGATTATCTGTAGGCTGGGGTAAATTCATATTATTCCTAATGTGACAGACTTCTTTGGGGAGGGGGGGCAGAAATCACTGCAGGCTGCATTGGTTTGGGATGGGCTCCGCAGGGACACATTTGTCACCCTACTGTGTCTTAAAGCCCTGGCTGTAACCATTCTGCTTCTGCACAAGAACCTCTTCTAGGTGAGCTATTCTCCCTTCTCCCATAGATACTCTGCTCCTGGCCAAGCAGTGGCACAGCATTCTGTCTTGTAGCCTTGCAACAGATGCTGTCCCATGAGAGGGGACCTGCAGGCTAGAGCCTTCCTCCCAGGCAAGGACTGGCCTCATGCTCTGCTCTTGCCTGCCTGAGTGCTCTCCCCTCTCACCAGCTGGCCTGGGGCGGGCAGCCTCCCTTCCCTGCCATGGTTTCGTAAGAAAGCAGCCTCATGAAATACTGCTTGGGCATACCTGCGAGATCTGGGTGGAGTTACGGCACCTTCTGGCTTCTGTCAGAATTATAGATCTTTTTTTAGGGGAGGAGGTGCTGGGCTTCTCCAGAGTAGGAGCCTCCAACCCTATACCAGTGCATGTGTTTAAGTATCCAGTAAAGGCTGCAATTCAAAGCAGAGGCACTGATTTATTTCAGGACCCCCAAGCCTAGGCAAAGCAGAGAACTAAAGCATCTGCACACTTGTTAAGCCCTACAGGCCTATGTTCCTGTGTGGTTGCAATTTCAGTGGAATTTGGTTACAGTGCTCTCACCGGGAAGCATCTAGTTAGGCTGAATTATTGTGTGTTGTTGGCAAAGACAGGACAAACCCAACTATCCCAGTGCCTGGGATCCTTATAGTAACAGGGAACTGCTGAGGTGGGATACATCTGAATCATCCCAGCAAGAAGTCCAATGCTTTTTTTTTTTTTTTTTCCATAGGAAGTAACATAGGTAAAAATCAAATTCTCTGACAATCGCAAATCTGCCTACACAAATCCAACATTCACTGGGGATATTGGTTCATGAACAACATATATCAGATAAGCATTTAAAAAGGAGGGCTTTCTGCAGCACCTTTTTAAATGGACCCATCTCCTCCTACTTCCCTTCTCCAGATCTGGCTTTGGAATTATTTACATGTTGTAAACTTGTAATCATCTCTGAGATGAGAAAGTATCTCGGCTCTAAAGGGAAGGTGAAATTCCGTCACTTCTTGTGGTGCAAATACTTTGAAATAGGGAATAAATTCCTTCTTAGCCTTTCAGAGCAGATCATGAGGTGTAATTACAATCATTTTACTGCACAGCCACAAATACAAGCACATGGAAGGCGTGTGGGCAGTCCTGCATGGCTGCATGGCTAACAAGGGATGGAGGATTTGTAGATGCTCAACTTCCAAACCCTGGATCAGCTCCAGCCCTGAATACACAGCAACAACTGTCAGATGTGTCACAAAAAAGATCACATTCCATCATTTTCTTTCTAGTGACAGTGGTCCATAATTTTTTTCTCAGGTTATCCACCATTCAATTACACACACACCACCCCAGTTAGGAAATTGTGTCCTGTTCTTCATCTGAATCTGCCTGAAACCATCTTTCAGGCACTGAATTTTTTTTTTCCTTTTGTCAGTAGGACAGGGAATTCACCCTGGGTTTAGATTCCCTCATGCAAGTATCTATGCTCAGCACTTGAGTCACGCCTCAGCTTCTTGTCAGTGAACTAAATAAGTTGAGCTCCTTAAGCTTCAAATCATGACTTGTTTTCCGGTCTCTGGAGATACTTGTGAGCCCCTTTTGAACTCTCTCCCCCTCTCTGTCCTCTTTAGTTCCCTATCTTTTCTGAGGTGTGGACAACAACGTACAAATAGCCATAAACAGTCAGACCGAAGGTGTATCGAGCCTAGTTGTCCTGTCTCTGGCAGCACTTCACACAGATGCCATGGAAAGATTAACAACAGTGAAAACATGGTGCTGCTTTCTTCTCTGCCACCTGCTCCCTCATCCAAGCAATCCACAGCTCATTGTGCTACCCACATATGCTCTTAACCTGAACCGGGATCACTTCCCATTTTCTGCTTGATGTTCCTGGTTGTAGGGATCCAGGGACCACCTTAGCATATTTCTTGCCGTTGCAGTGCCTCAGAAGCTCACGTTGACCCACTGTCTGTGAAATTTGTTAAGTCCTCCATGAAGCTGCAGCTTTCCAAGACAGCTTACTAGCTCCAACAAACAAAACTCGCAGTCTGATGGAGCCAATATACACCATCCTTCAGGCTAACCTCTTGCCCTTGACTCTCAAGTCCTTATCTGGAAAGCCACCTTGTGTTGCCCTCTGCACAGATTGCATTGGACTAGGACGTGAGTTTCTTCAGAAGGAAGCGTTCTGCACTCCCAACTTACAAGTTACAGAGTGCAGAAGGTGAGATATTAGTATTTGACTTCCAACTTTATCTGCTTTTTGCCTCCTATTTGGAGAGTAAGCCTTGCCTGCTTTCCAAAGATTTTAGTACAAAGGACTCCAGCCTGCTGTAACATGCCTGCAGTAATGTTGCCTGAAAGGTTCCAATGATCGAGGTGTTCTAAAAGGTGTGAGAGCTACTTAAATTAAATAATATATATTTCAGTGTATAGACAGCTCCTGGATTTTTTGAGACTATCTGCAGAGAAGGCTTAAAAAATAAAACCAGAATTGACTGTCTTTCTAAAAGAAAACTGAGATTCCCTCAAAACAGCATAATTACTCCAGGTGTTAGGGCATTAAAAATAACAGCAACATTATAGAGGAGGGAATGAGTTGGCAGTACTGCCACCACCTTTATTTCCTAGGACTTCCAAATGAGTGTGAGAAAAATCGTATCACATGCACATCTCCAGGTGTGCAGATGTTTCCACACCACCATCCGTTCGCTCTGGTACGCGCAACCCGCCCCACTTCTGCTCTCCTTCATGCGGTCTCATCCCCAAATCCTTGTCACTGCTCCTCAGCATCACTGGCACAGGCAGACACATCCCAGCTTCCTTCATCTACGGCCATTCCCTGAGTGCAAGATCTACCCCCTCACCCACGTGTGTGTACCCCAAAGTCAGTGCACGCACACCAGACCCTGCACTTGCACACGGCGTCACTTCGTGTTTTATCCCGGAGATGGGACGAGACACGGATGGTCCCCGTTGTCCAGGCACTTAAGGTGCCCGAGTCCTTTTGAGGGGGGTTTTCAGCAAAATGCCTTCTGCAGCTTGATGGGGTTTAGGAGCTGTCAGATAGGTGAGTATGGGTCTGAGCTGCTCTTTCCCAAATCGAGTGGTTGTGATGGATTATATTTATACCTCCTCTGTTCCAGTCTTTGACAAACCATCCCACACTTCTGTTATATTAGAAAGCTTCAACCTAATATTTTTTGAGCTGGGCATATGGGAACATGATTATATCATCTTTATTTGTTTTTCTCCATTCACTCTCACTCCTCCATTCTTCCCTCTCCCCACCATTTATCATTTAAGGATCCACTAAAATATTACACAGTGTTTTTTACTCATCACTGTCTTTTTTTTCCCCCCCTCATCGACAGATGCTTACCCCAATTCTGAAGTGATCTATGTGTGGACTAATAGCACCACAACATCTGTGGTGGTGGCTGAAGACGGTTCACGACTTAACCAGTACCACCTGATGGGACAAACTGTAGGAACTGAAAACATCAGTACCAGTACAGGTAGGGACAATATTTCTACCCTATGGTTGCTGATAACAGGAGCAGGAGGGGAGATGCACTGGCTCCGGTTGTTTTGCAAGGAGGCTAGAGAAGCATCTGTGGGACGTGGGGTGTTGGGGAGAACCTGTGCACATTCCTGGCTACTTAGCAGAGGCACCGAAACACTGAGAGGGTTACACGCTGGCTCTTTGGTACATCGCAAGGCTGTTGCTGAAGATGCATCCAAGCCCCTGCTATTTAACAGGAGCACTGGAGAAGCTGCACGCAGCTTCTTGGCGACCGCCTGTGCTGAGGCTGCCAGCACTATTGCTGGCTTATTTCCCTGTGGGAGGAACCACCCCGGGAGGCAAACACCACCCACGCATTTCATCCGTTTCAATCATCTCTTTAAAATGATTTGCCTGATGAAACCGCACGGGGCAGGAGGGAGCAGAGGGCAGGTGGGGGCTGTGGCATGGGGCCGTGGCGTGGCTCTGCAGCGTGTCCAGGGTACCACGTGGCCGGTGAAGAGGTGCAAACCCCGAGGATTCCCATTTCCTCCTGGGCTGCAAGCGGAGGCGCCAGATGTGGCAGCATTAGGGAGGCAAAGAAGATTTTAATCCCCGGCCGGGCACCCACATGAGCCATGCCCCCCCCCCCTGCTTCTTAAGGCTCCCACGCAAGGGCAGCCCTGGGCACGCATTGGCGAGGGGACTCCCGGGGGGGTCGAGGCCGGGACGGGGGTCACGTGGGCTTGGCAGGACAGGGGCTTAACCAGGTTACACAATGCACTCATCTGGAGAGCATTAGCGGCATCCAGCGCGGGGGGTCCTCAGCCTGGAAGCAAAATAGCCCATGGTGAATGGAAGGGGGATTCCCACCACTGCTGGTGGTGTGGGGCTCAGTGGGGGGAAAGGGGCAGCCTGTGGCAACACGGCGTTGAGCACTTCCTGCTGGCAAAGCACAACAGAGTCTTCTGGTGATGCACTGTCCCCCTGGTGAAAAAGGATGGACTCGGAGCTAAAGGCAGGATTGTGGAGGTCAAGGTATAGATTGAGTTAGGAACCTGTTACCCTCTGTGGGAAATTCAGGAGATGTGAAAACAGGTACACATACACTCGCACACAAAGTTCGTTGGACCGAAACATGAAGGCACATAAAGCTTTCTGCTCAAACTGTCCAAGCATGGCAAATAAAGAGGGGGGCAGCTGAGCTTGCTGCTTACTCTCCAAACAGGAGATAAAAGTGAGGGAAGGCTTGCCTCAGGCAGCACAGGGCGATGGCGGAAAACACAACTGCCATCTCTGTCCTATAGACCTTCACCCCCTCCCTTGCCCATTTCAGGAGACGCAAAGCTGTTGCTAAAGCACAGATACCTAAAGGCAAGAGAAGCATGTAGATGGAGTCAGAGCAGCCACTGCTGCAGAAAAAGGACGAGTATGCTATCTCCCATGAAAGAGCAAAGACACTTTTTTCCTTACCAGTTTACCATCATAGCCGCGTTGTTTTCTGCAATGAATGGCAGTTCCCCTCTCGCCTTCATCGTTGCCAAGAAAAAGATCCAGAGGATGTACTGGGACATCTCCTACAAGCTCGTCCTCCTCCTCGGAGCAAGAAAAACACCCAGCCCAGGCAGTGAGCACTCCAGTGTGTCAGGTCCGGGCCACTTCCAGTTTGCAGCTTTGCCTGCGAAAGCTCCTTGTACTCCTCAGCCCAAGGGAACAGGGGACTCTTCAGACAAATCCCAAAGTTTCTGCCCGGTAACAACGTCTCTCCTGTATCCTAAGATTTAGGCTAATAAATGCTTGTTTTCCAACATCAAGATTTTATATTAATGTCCTGGGTTACATCTCGTCTGGCTGGATTCTGATTGCAGGGTGGATCACAAAGGGCAGGACACAGATTGTAACCGGGGATTAGCAAAATACAAAAATCCGATTTTGCACAGGGAAAGCAGCAGTCAGCGATGGATTTTCTGGACTTCATCAAGCTCGTAGGAGGCCAGTAATCAGGGTTACTTATGAACGGCCGTCTAAGGCATTTCTTCCTTCTATTGAATTGTTGAACATGAAAAAGAAAAACCAAATAGCTATTGCACAAATCCAAGTTCTTGGCTCTTTTGTCGTTTTTTTGACACACAAGTCAAACTACACAGCCCTTGCAGTTGCATAGGCAAAATGTTTGTGTATGTCATAGGACATTTATGAGCTCCTTTCTAACAGAGTTGTTTTTTTTTTTTTAAATGGAAATGCTGGACCTGCACCAATCCCTTGGGATTCTGCTGATTCTCTAGGCAAGCCACTAAGTTTAGCTGTCTTCTCAGAAAAGATGTCCTGGCACTCCCAATTCACCAACAAATCTTGAAATTTGGAACATTTTAGCCATGCCACAGAAAATAGCTCTGGCATGTGCCACCTGTTTGGGCTTTTTTTTTTTTTTTTTTTTGTGCTAACAACCCCAAATGTCATTCCCCCAAAAAAGAAGATATTTGACTACTCACACTGCTTCCAACAGGCCCAACATCTGTTATGTCCTGGTGGTGCAAGAGCTGAAAACAATCAGATACGGGATTTGGGTCCAAGTGGATCTTGCTGCTTTCTGCAAATGGTTGCCCAGTTCTGTATCCCATACCCAGAATCTCTCATCGCTAACTTAGGATCTGCAGTGCCACAACAAAAACCCACTCTTTTATCTTCTGCCAGCTGGAGCCTGAGCTCTGAAATATCCAAAGCCTAAATAACAGAAGAAGCATTCAGCCCTTCATTTTGCACCAAATAATTCTGATTTTTCCTTGAGATAAATCTTTCCCATGCATTGCTATAAAAAGGACACGGGCATTTCTGGGGGGGGCAAAATATTCTGGGTGTCAACGTGGTTGGGGACTGGGTGTCACAGACCTAAGGTCAGGATCTTGACAGAACAGTTGCTGATACACCTGAGTCCAGTTATATCCAGTAAACAAACAATCCTGGGAGCTGGTCCAACCTCATTAAAATACTCTATTGTATTCCAGCATAGTAGCAGTGGAAGAATGCACGTAAGATCCTGGAAAATTTGTTAGCATGCTCCCCAGAACAATCTCGATACCAAAAAAATACTGTAGCAGCTTTTAAAACATACCCCCTTCCTCCCCCCTTAAGACCAGGAGCAGCACAGTAGCATAGCTCTGTGAAGAAATGCAGCCATTTTCGCTCCAGGACTTTTCATTAGTGCTAAATTTGTTATTAAAATTGTTTTGTGCAGTAATGAGTGGACCCCATCAGGAACAGGATTCTCTTTTAAGTGCTACATAAACCTATAACAAAAATTAGGTCTTGCTCAAGGAAGCTTATGGTCTGAGGATAAACAGTGGCCTTACCGAACTAAAAGGGAGCTTTGCCACTCCAACAGAGCCAGGATTTTGTTCTATATAGACAAAAGGCCAACTCAGGCAGCTTTTAGCTTTACTTTAAGCAGTGGTTCCCTCCTCAAGCTCTGGGGTTTTGTTAAGCCCTAAATTTGCTGGAGGAAGCATTCCCAGTGTAGGCATTTTTGAAAGGGACAGCATGGGAAATCAGAGAAGATACCGGTTGATAGCAGAGCAAGTACAAAATGAAGGTGATATCATTATTTCAGTGGAGACAAGAGCTTTGATAAGTTAAAGAAAATTATAAGGTAAAAAGCAGCTGTGGAGGGCCGTCAAAATGTGGGCATTCATTTTCTGTATTTACAAAAGGAAGCTGAAGCTGTGTAGATTTTTCTTATTCGGGCTCCGAAAGCATACTGTCAAAATCAATAATGCACATCGTCACTCCTTAGCGAGCAGGGAAACTGTGACTCAAACACATCCCCGTGCAGTAGCAACTCAGAAACAGATTACAGGCACATAGACCCTGCTGCTCCTGGCATATTTTATGGGCAATCCACAAGCTGAATGCTCCTAAATAAAGAGCAAGTGGGGTTCCTCCTGAGACCACAGCATGTTCAGCATCCCTGCTTCAAAATTACACTAAATGGAAGGGTATTAGACGTTGCTTCACAGGGATTTTCTCCCCAGATTCACAGCATTCCCTGTCCATCTCCACATCCCTCTTCAGGGAACCATTTCACCAGAAAATCAGACTCCAGAAGAAAGTCATAAAGATTGAGGCAGGCTGTCAGGTAAGGTATTTCTGTGCTCTTCCAGTCTTTCTGTCTAAAATCCTCAGCACAAACAAGGTCTGTAGACTTCATCCAGAATGATGGAGCCCCTCTAGCATAACATACCAGTGCAGCTATACCTGCAGAAGCCCTTTCACTTGTAGACCTGTTCTCCGCTAATTTGCCATATTGTCACTTAGAAATAATCTGCCAAGTCTGACTGCTTAGCAATGCTGGCTGCAGCTCAACTTGGGCTATTCACTCAAGGCAGAATCAGTCTGTTATGTATTTTCCTTTTGTGGCTGGTCTATAGAGACTAACGGTCAAGTCTTGCAACAGAGATTATAGCTATATTTGTTTTCTTCTTGGAGGACCTCATATATTTCAGAAGAGGCATTGCTCTGATTCATCAGTACCCAACTGAATGCTGCATGCTTTTAAATTAATTTGATACCAGTGTGAATGGAGATCTGTTAGGGCTTGAAGGGGACGGGTGTTTTTTATTCTTATGCTTTGTTTTTACTCTTATTTTTCCTAGGCAAATAGCCTGGTTTTAGCTAGCAAGATTTTGGCTTTGGGGAGCAGTTACCATCAATGAATAGCCTTCAGTAACAACTATATGGTTTTACAGGAACGGTCTGAAAGAACCAGTTAAGTTTTGATTTTTTTCTGAAACATTAGGGAGGGTGACAGCTGGTCTGTTGATTTTGGAGTGCATTTTTTTAGGCTTTTATTGAAATTCAGAGGACCTGACAAAAGCCAGATTAAGGCAATGCTATGGATTTGGCATATAAAAAAGACATGGAATTTAGCACTGCTGTGGTAGCTTTCAGTGAATTCTCCATGCAGGCAGTACAATATTCATTGCACGAGTGAACAAGAAATGGCACGATGTCTACCCAGAAACAGAGTATCTTTCCAAGGGCTAAGGTGTACCAAATTCTAGGAAAACTGCATGCACTAAGGTTTGGGTTTGTTTTGTTTTCTGGAGGAGCAATCTGATGGGTTTGGGTACTCAGATCAACCAGATCTCCCTGGATCCATGTGCAGAACTGCAATTTTTGCAGCGCTGACAGACCTGTTCTCATTCTTGAAAATTGATGGCTTGGCAGTAACAGTTGCCCTAATGAGGTTACATCCTGCTGCTAAATCAGGTTTCTAAGAGTAGATGTCCTTAATCGTGACTTTGATAAGACAGTTTGTAGGACTGAGTCAAAACCAGGCAGGACTCAGGCAGTGCCAGCAACCTGGATTTTTTAAGCACATGAACATCAAGACACCCCAGGTGCATAAAAGGACCACAACTTTGCAGCGCAGCAGGAGAAGTCAGTCATCATCTTCTGCTTTTGGAGACTGAATGTGAAGACTAGCAGGACCTAGCAGCATCTGTCTCAAATCCTGGTTTTCCACAGCGCAGAAATCCAGACATTTTTCATGCAATTAAGAATGGCTGAATGGTATCCTCAGTCGGGGGGGGGTGGAGCTGGCCTGCTTAAGTCCCTAAATCAGTAAGCCTCCCTTATTTTACCCATTTGCACATTTTTCTCCTTCTAGGTGAATATACTATTATGACAGCCCATTTTCATCTGAAAAGAAAAATTGGTTATTTTGTCATCCAGACGTACCTTCCTTGCATTATGACTGTGATCTTATCGCAAGTGTCGTTTTGGCTAAACAGAGAATCTGTCCCGGCTAGGACTGTCTTTGGTGAGTATCCCACTTTCTCCTAGCACATGGGAAGGAACGATCTGGCTTGTGGAAGTGATTTGCTGCAACAAAAGCACGGTGCACTGATGCTTATTTCTGTTTGAGATGTTCTAGATGTTCTCTTGTTGTCTTCCAGTTTAAACTCAAAGTCCATTTGAAAACACTGTCTGGGCTTTTTTGGTAAAGTTAAGACAGAAAATTCTCAATTATCAATTATGTGAAGGTTAAGGACAGAAGACAGAAGAATCAGATTGGTGTGATTTACAGGTTTTTTTCCACTCGGGTAAAGTCCTGGATGGTTTAGAACAAAACCCCATACATATTATCATATTTAGTGTATACTCTAGCTAAGCATTTGAAAACAAATTTAACTTCAAGACGTTTGTTTGTTTTAAGATATTTATCTGGGAAAAACCATGTAGAGGTTAATTAGTGACAATTAGCTCTATTACCATCAAACAAATTAATACCATTTTGCATTTAGAAAACATATATTTGCTACAGAAGTTGTCATGGAAAAATCCTTCGGGATCTCTTAAATTACTCGATTTATCACTAGAAGATTTCAGAAAATAAACACAGTCTTAAGTGAAGGTTGATGAAATACAAAATTTTCACTAGATGAAAAATGAGGGCAGCGGGAACAGTTTATTATGTAAAACTTAGTTCAGCTGTTCTTAAAAGAGTCATTCTTCTGCACAAACCTACTGAGATCAGTCAGCAGCTTTGATCAAAAATCAGTTCAGCAAGCTGTATGGGGAGAATACAGGTACCAGCATCGCTTTGCTGACCGGTGGTACCCATTCGAGGTTTACAAAACTGTAACTGAGAGTTGAATTTTGTCCTATTGGGGGCATCCTTTCACAGGTGAAAGTGGTGGCAGCTCTGTCATTTACTGACCTATGTGAAAGGGAAATCAAGTCAAGGAAATCAATAACAGCCAACAATTTCGTACATAAAATCTCCATGTGAGAAAATAAAATCCAGAACCCCGCTTTATTATGCAAGTTACTGCTAAATGGGTTGCTCACTGATTTTATAATGTACCGCTTAATGAGGGACACTCTATACATACCATGCATCTGTGTACAGGGGGGAAATACCAGTAAGGTTTGGGGTTATGCAACAGCTGGGTTTGTGTTACCCTTAAAAATACTTATTTAGATACACTATAACTAGAGATAACCAGAACACCGCAGAAGTAAACACCTCAGGGCAGGGGCTTGTGTTTTTTCTTGGTGGGCAAAGTATCTTACTCTTTTGGAGAGCGAGATGCAAACACTGAGTGACTTCGTGTGGACTTCTTAGGCATCGTGCTGAACTGGGGCCTGCTCATAACTCGTTAGGGATCTCGTCAGGGCTACCAAACTGATCTCTGCCTCTTTTTTTTTTTTTTTTTTTTCCCCTCCTTTACAGGAGTAACTACAGTCCTCACCATGACCACCTTAAGTATCAGTGCCCGTAACTCTTTGCCAAAAGTGGCCTACGCTACTGCAATGGACTGGTTTATAGCTGTCTGCTATGCCTTTGTATTTTCTGCATTGATTGAATTTGCAACAGTCAACTATTTCACCAAGAGGAGTTGGGCATGGGATGGCAAAAAAGCCCTGGAAGCTGCTAAAATCAAGGTGCTTACCTTACATTTTTTAAATACCTAGAATAAAAAACAGTTACTCAGCATAGCTCAAATAACTGAATGGACAATTTTCAGCTTCTTCATGAAAAAGGTATTTAATTACCTCATGACATACTTTTGCCGTTGTATAGAGGAATATTTGCAAGGAAACGTGCCGCCTTCTTTTCAGGGAGATGGACTATCGGTCTCCACGCTCTGTGTGGAGTGTACTATTTTCAGAAGGCTGTAGGGCATTGAGTACACGTGGCATGGGATTTCAGTGACCAAACTTCTGACAATAGCAGGCAGATACTATGAAATATGTCTCTGCAGAGCACTCCCTACGCGCTCTCCCAAATAAATGACAAAGCTCACATTGAGCTCTATGAGTCAGGGTCCCACCACAGTATCCCCAATAAAAAAGAGACAAGAGAGAGATGCTGTGAAAACACAAACTTTTGAGTTTCAAGCTGAAATTAAAATTTTGGAATAGGACTGACTCCTAGCAAATGATCTCCTAGAGAGAGCTCATACCCGCAGGCATCCCAAAAGAGCAATACAAAGAGGGGAAGCTAGCAGGGGCAATGAGCCCTTCACCACTCTCCTTGCTGCAGGCAGGAGGGTGAGGTTCACCCCTTGGCAGCTGCCCTTGGGGCAGCAACCTCTGCAGGTGCAGGACCGCATCACCCTGACAAAAGCAGCTGCTAATGCACACACCAGGTGGGATCCGGGTCCCTGCGGCCACTCTTGGCTTTCTCTGGCGTCAGGGAAAGTTTAACCTGAGTAAGGGCTATAAAATCAAAGCAGAAACAGCTGTTTGGGAGTCAAAGTTGGAATAGCCAACAGGCATTTGTTAGCATGATTGATTACGGTACTTCGGGTTAACATGTTTCCACTTTCTGTTCCTGCGGTCTAACGCTTTGTTCTTTAACCTGCAGAAAAAAGAGCGTGAATTGCTGGGAAATAAATCAACTAATACTTACAGCACTGGGAAGATGACCCCCGCACCAAACATGCCAAAGGACTCAGCCCCATCTGTCATCTCAAACGCTGCACCTGCCCCAGTGAAGTCTGCAGAAGAAAAGCCCGCCGAAAGCAAAAAGACTTACAACAGCATCAGTAAGATTGACAAAATGTCCCGGATAATTTTCCCAGTGCTGTTCGGAACTTTTAACTTAGTTTACTGGGCCACATATTTGAATAGGGAGCCTGTTATTAAAGGTGCCAATTCTCCAAAATAAACTGAAGGATTCTAAAGCCACGTGAGCCATACTTACAAAGCAGATGCTACCAAGGAAAATTTGAGATCCAGATGACTTTCTACATTTGGGCAATATTCTTCAGGAAGTTTTTTGCATGTTTAATAATATGTACAAATGATATTGCCTTGATTGTTTCTACATGTAACCTCAGATGTTTCGGAGACGATTCTATTACTTACAGCAACAGATCTTTATAAAAGATGAGAAGACATTGATGAATATGGCTTCTTTGCTGCTGAGTATCTTGCATTGATAGTTTACAAATAAAACAAGTTCTATTTTTTAACTGTTCAAGTGTACTACATATCGTGGTTTTTATACTTCAGATGTACAGTCATACAAGCGTAGGCTTAACCTATATTTTACAGAAGAGCTCCACTGTTGTCATCTGATAGGTTACTGAGTAACGCCAGTGGTAAATGTGCCAAATTACTAAGCGTAGGGCTATGTTTGAGCACCTTTACTGGTTATAGGTAGTGCATTACTCCACAGATAAAACTGCTCAGCCCAATTTTCATTAGAAGTTAATACACGCAGTAAACCCAAATGGGGCTACGCTGATTTTCACTGCTTCAGCCTCTGGCTTGCAGTGAAGTAACATAAGGAGCAGGATGCTACTTGTGTAAATAAAGGTGGTGGAATTTTGCCCTTAAAAGAAGACACGAAGTTTGTTTGGATTTTGCATTCCAAGGAACTTTCTAGAATGATTCTCAGTATTTATTCCAAAAATTAGAGATATATTGCATGAAATTAACATAGATTAGGAACATACTTGTGCAAATAAAACTTTTAACAACAGCAGTAGACATTTTTGTTAGGGTAAAGTAAATGATGTTTGGACATTTTCCCAAGAAGAAGATTGCGTTATATTAGCGGAGATTAACAGTGAAGAATTACAGTCATTCCGAAATAATTATTACTTGTTTCCCAACATGAAAACCAATCAGCCAGCACTAAGAAGTGTGATCAGGAAAAAAGATGTGCTTCATGACAGCAAGGTGTTTCAGTGACAATATTGACAGAAAGGTCTTTGTACTGTCCATCTGAAACTTTTCTATAAAACGCCTTGCTGCTGCCAATGTGTTTTGCTTTCACGATGAATGAGAAAATGCAATCTGAGTTTTCAGCTCTTTCCTCCTTGGCATCCTTTCTTTGTTCCAGAAGCTTTTGTAATTTAATCTTAATGTTTAAATAAAAAATGCATACAACATTTGATTGCAAAATGTCATTCTTTTACTGGTTTTAGAGGGACCAAAAAATCACCACAAGAGCTGGAAGAATTAATTGGAAAGCAAGCGTGCACGCACTCGATCACATGTGTGTGTACATGACGCATCCTCGCTGTTGCCCAGAAAGGTACGTGTCAAGTGAAGGCAGTGAATCAGGATGCTTCAGAACAAAGTGCTATCTTGCTATGGAGCATCAGCCCTGTGTTCTGTCTGGGACAGAGAGGAGAGTCCATGTTTCACTTTGAGGTGAGGGTCTGGTCCAGGACTGGGGAGCTGCCTGGGCTTCTTGCGTGTCTTCTCTTCATCCCCTTCATTCCTAAATGTTGCCAAGAAAAAAAATCTCACACAGCTATTCCTTTTTGCAACTTTTCTTTTGATGTTGTGGAATTAGAAATTTGCAAGTTCCCAGTGGCCATGGAGAGGCCACAGGACTGAGCAGGTGACTGGAAGCTGGTAAAGAGGAGCAAG